ATATATATATATATATATATATATATATATAAACATCTAGAATATATACACAAGGTCCAAATCTAGGGCTTGAGAAATAGAAATAGAACATACAAAATATCAGCCCAAATGCTGGAATACACCGCCAGAGAAGGCCCCCTAGTGTAAAAGTTTTAGGGATTAGTCCTTGGGGATAGTTCGGTTTGTTAGTCCTAGTCTCGCCCATTGTGTGCATGGGATGTATCTTGCACGGTTCAGCTATCCCGACGAGACTCTAGTAGTATATCCTTCTAGTGAGAGTGCGTAGAGGGTGTGACCCGACATGTACTCCTAGACTACTTTTCATGTATTGTTAGCGGCAATATGCCATGTGATATGTTACTAGCGCCACATGCATGATAAAATGTAGCTTGTGTCCATACATGTGCATTTTAATGTTATATGATAAATTGATATTTTTATGTCTTGGATGAGTGAGATGTGATATTATTATTAGTTTGTCTATATTATACATATTTTGTTTGTGTTTGGCTATCCAATGTATATTCCTACACTGTGAGCCAGAGTGAGATGTTTCTCACTCCCTTTTTTCGTGTTGTTTTTCTTTGACTGTCTTACAGGTGATTACCAGCATGAGGCTGAGGATGTTGATGATGAAGCTTAGGTTTTTATATTGAGATTTTCTCTAATAGGACGTGTGACATCGAGGCATAGAAATGATTAGATTAGAATGTTTTTATTAAATTATTTAAGGAGACCTTATATTATTTCTTTGTAATTTTTGCTGAGTAAGCTACTGTTTAAGTTATGAATGTGGTACCCTCTATTTACACATGTTTGTTATTTCAATTATGAAAAAATTATGTTATTCAATTTTTGTTAATTATGTTATGGTATGTGGGGTAGAGGGTGTCACACCTTTAATAGGTTCTACTTCACATGAGGTGTTTAAGCTTATATGGAAATGGGATGGACCTGAACGTGTTAAAACATTATTATGGATAGTTGCACCTGGTAGTTTACTTACAAATTGGAGTAGAGCAAGTAAAGGTATGTCAAAAAATGCTACCTGCCTGCTTTGTATGCATGAGGATGAGACCATCACTCATACTCTACGTGACTGTGCTTTTATCAAGCCAATATGGGAGGCTCTTTTCCAAGGTTAGATAAAGGACTTCTTTTTTACTGTAGTAGTTCGTGACTGGTTGGTTCTTAACATGGAGAAAGATCCTGCCCACGTGGAGTTTTGGCAATTTTTATTTATTATTGGGATAAACGTTATTTGACAAACGAGGAATAACATGGTTTTTTGAGGTGGTACTTTCAATAGTAATAGTGTGGTGCATGAGATAAGTGGACGTGCAGCAGAGTTGCTCCAACTCAAGGGTTTTAGCCACAACCTTTTGAATCGAGGCACGAGAACCAAGTGTGATCTTATCAGTTAGGGCCCACCACCAGTTGGCAAACTGGAACTAAATTGTGATGGAGCACTCAATGGCGACATATCTTCCTGTGGAGGGGTTCTAAGATCAACTCCGATAAGAGTTGCTTAAGGTGTATCTTAAAAGTAAGTATTGGATTTATATGACTTATATAATTAGTTATTTTTGTTTATTTTTTAATTTCCTTCTTTTGTATATATATTGGCTTTTCCATTCTAAAATACAAAATATAGATGCATTTTTCAATCATTCACTTTTTCTTTCTTCTTCCTCCTCTCATCATTATGTTCAACTTTATTATTCTTCAGTACCTTTGTGTGCATCTCTGTGCATGTATGTGAGTTCAACATGGTATCAGAAGAGATTATTCAATACGATCCAATATCCATTCCCCAACACTCAAACTGTCACTCTGATTGATTTCCTTATCCACTCATGGCTGATCAAGCAAAAGATCCAAGCCAAGATGTCTCCAATCCTCTTTTTCTACATCATTTGGATGGGCCTGGCCTTGTTCTTAGATCTCAACCTCTTGATCATAAAAATTACACCACCTGGAGCAGAGCAATGCAGGTTGCCCTTTCTATGAAAAACAAATTGGCCTTCATTGATGGTACCCTCCCGAAACCTGCGAGTACTGATTCAACCTTTGCTACTTGGAATCGTGCCAATAATGTCATCATCTCTTGGCTCTACAATTCTGTCTCCAAAGATATTATTACTAGCATCCTGTTTGTGTCTACTGCCCAAGAAATTTGGGACGTTTTAAAAACAAGATTCTCAAGAAAGAATGGTCCTCGCATCTTTCAACTCCGGCGCCAATTGATGTCTCTCCACCAAGGCATGGATGATATCAGCACATATTATACCAAGCTAAAGTCAATCTGGGAAGAATTATCTGACTACAAACCAACCTTCCAATGCACCTGTGGAGGACTTCAACAACTTCAATCATTTACTGAATCTGAATATATGATGTCATTCTTGATGGGTTTGAATGAATCTTTTTCTCAAATCCGGGGTCAAATTCTCCTTTCAGACCCCTTACCCTCCATTGGAAATGTTTTCTCTCTTGTTCTTCAAGATGAAGCCCAACGTGAAATTTCTGTCACTTCTTCTCTCCTTATGGCTAATTCAGATAACATTGCCTTTACTGTCAACTCTTCACAACCTGCAACTAGTAGGAATAGATTCACCAAGAAAGAAAGGCCTAGGTGTGCACACTGCGACATATTGGGGCACACCAGAGATACATGTTACAAGCTGGTTGGATATCCTCCAAATTATTTCAAGAATCGTACTACCAATACTGTGAATCAGGTTATGGGTAGCCCTGATAACGTACTTACTTCTCAGTCTTCAAATTTAACTCCTGATCAGTGTCAACAATTAATCAACTTTCTAACAAATCAAATGCAAGCTGATACTACCTTAGATGCAATTGCTACTAATGTGACAGGTATCTGTATGAATGTTGCTCTAGATAATAATTATCATACATGGATCATAGATTCTGGTGCAACCTCTCATATTTGTTGTTTTAAACACTTATTTCATTCTTATACTGCCATACATGATTCGCATGTCCTTTTACCAAACTCCACAAAAGTTAAGGTAGAAGGTATTGGAAGTATCAAGATTAATGATGATATTTTCCTTCATAATGTGCTTTACATACCTACATTCAGATTTAAACTTTTATCTCTTCTAACGTTAATCAATGAAAATTCTTTTAGATTTACTATGGAACCTAACTCTTTCACTCTCCAAGACCTCAAGACATTGAGGAAGATTGGCACGGCTAAACAACAACAAAGATTACTGGTTTTTGAGTTTCCTACATGCACTTTTCCTTCTAATTGTATCAATTCTTGTAATGTTGTTACCTATGATACTTGGCATAAGAGATTAGGACATGTGCCTAAATCTGTTTACAGATTGATTACTAATAAAACTGATCTCAGTTCTATTGATTCTAGTTATCACTGTAGTATTTGCAATATTGCTAAGCAAAATAGATTACCTTTCTCTAATCCTAATAAATTTAGTCCCAATTGTTTTGATTTAATCCATGCTGACATATGGGGCCCCTTTAGACAACCCACCTATGATGGTTTTAGGTATTTCTTGACTTTGGTGGATGATAAGAGTAGATTCACTTGGGTTTACATGCTTCACAATAAATCTGATTGTATTCATATCATACCCCAGTTTGTTTCCTATTTTTAAAATCAATTCCATACTAAAATCAAAACATTTAGATCTTACAATTCAATAGAACTTAATTTCAAAGATTAGATTTTTTTTCTACAAAAGGGTGTTCTGCACCAATATTCTTGTGTTGAAAGGCCTGAACAAAATAGTGTTATTGAACGCAAACATTTACACATATTGAATATTGCTCGTGCCTTAATGTTTCAATCTAACGTCCCTATGACCATATGGGGAGATAGTGTTAAAACTGCTATTTTTCTCATGAACAGAACTCCCAGTCCTATTCTAAACCACAAATCCCCTTATGAAATTTTATATGATAAATTGCCTAATTATTCTGATTTCAGAATCTTTGGTACTTTATGTTATGCTTCTACATTACTATCCAGTAGACATAAATTTAGTCCCAGAGCCACTGCAGCTGTTTTCATTGGGTATCCTCATGGTTATAAATAAACTTCTCAATTTGGTCACACACCAAACCTTCATCTCTAGAGACGTGAAGTTTTATGAAAACATATTCCCATTCCAGACAAGCAACTCCTCTGCTCCTACTCCTGATGTTTTTCACAATCACATCACACCCAATCTGATACACACCGAATCTTATGATGATCTTGATCATACACCTACCATCATCAATCAAAACATTACAGAACAACAACACATGATACCTCCTACAACTCCCCCTGAACAACACCACCCAAGAAGGTCCAGCAGAGTTATCAATCCTCCTGGTTACCTTTCTGATTATCACTGCTACAATGTGACCACCAATAACAATCCCCTCTATCCTATTCAAAACTCCATCAGCTATTCCAATTTATCCAAAACTCATACACATTACCTCTGTCAAGTTTCAGCCAATTATGAACCCCAAACTTATAAGAAAGCCATCAAATTTCCTCACTGGAAGCAGGCAATACAAGATGAACTTACAACTATGGAAGTAAATAACACCTGGTCCATTACCCTCTTCCTCCTGACAAAAAGCCTATTAGCTGCAAGTGGCTCTTCAAATTAAAGTTCAATTCAGATGACACTATTGCAAAACACAAAGCCAGATTAGTTGCTAGAGGCTTCACTCAACAATATGGATTGGATTTTCAAGAAACTTTCTCACCAGTAGCAAAAATAACCACTTTCAGGTTACTTTTATCCCTTGCAGCATCTCAGCATTGGCACCTTGCTCAACTTGATGTCAACAATGCATTTCTAAATGGCAGCCTTGCTGAGGACATCTACATGCAAATTCCTCAAGGTTATACTCATCACATCCTTCCTACTTCCTGTGCTCCCTTAGTATGTAAGCTACACAAGTCTATATATGGCCTCAAACAAGCCTCAAGAAGTTGGTTCAATAAATTCAGCACCACACTAACTTCTCAAGGATTCAACCAGTCCAAGTATGACTACACCTTGTTCACTCAAGGTACTAATTCAACATTCATTGCCATACTTGTCTATGTTGATGACATTGTTATTGCTAGTCCAAACCCTGCTGCTATCACCTCTGTCAAAGACATGCTCCACCGACACTTCAAATTGAAGGACTTAGGTGATTTAAAATTTTTCTTGGGTTTGGAACTATCAAAATCTAAATCAGGGATTTTCATGTGTCAAAGACATTACATTCTCTCCATTCTTAAAGACTGTGGAATGTTGGCCTGCAAACCCTCAACTGTTCCTATGGAAGCTTTGTTGAAACTACATGTTGAATCTGGCACAACACTCTCTGATCCAGGTGCATATAGAAGGCTTATAGGGAGGCTCTTGTATTTAACCATTTCTAGACCAGATATTAGATACACTGTTCACAAATTGAGTCAGTTTGTCTCTAATCCTCATTCTGGTCACATGGATGCTGCTTATATGCTATTAAGATATCTTAAACACACTATTGGTCAAGGAATTTTATTCAAGACTAATTTTGACACTAAACTTCATGCATATGTGGATGTAGATTGGGGTTCCTGCATTGATAGTAGAAGATCCACCACTGGTTTATGTGTTTTCTTTGGAAATTCTCTTGTTTCCTGGAAAGCTAAGCGGCAGAATATTGTTAGCAAATCCTCCACAGAAGTAGAATACAGATCTCTAGCATCTGTCTCTGCTGAGCTAACTTGGCTGAGGAATTTACTGACTGATTTCAACATACATATTCCATATGCTACTGTTTACTGTGACAACCAGGCTGCTATTCACATTGCTTCTAACCCCACATATCATGAAAGAACTAAACATCTTGAAATCTCTTGTATATATATTGGCTTTGCCATTCTAAAATATGAGATATAGATGCATTTTTTAGTCATTCACTTTTCCTTTCTTCTTCCTCCTTTCATCATGATGTTCAACTTTATCATTCTTCAGTACCTTTGTGTGCATCTTTGTGCATGTATATGAGTTCAACAATAAGGGACATAGCTTACAAGAAATTTTTATTGGAGTGATCTTACCTAGCAAGAAAAATTGAATTTTTTTTAGATCTGTTCCTTCTTGAAGCTCCGTGCTCAGGACTGTGAAATACCAAATGGAGAGCTCTCAATATTTCATCCCTCCAAGCTGGAAGCTTCAAAAACATCTTTATGCCCAAAGCCACAAACCACCGCATGGAAGAGCGAAACCTTGGACTATTGCGTCAGAGAGCTCTTGGAAGTGCAAGGAAGAGTGCGGCTGGAAGATCTTAGAACAGCACGGAGGAGCGCAACACCCTTGTCATCGACGATGATGAACCTTATCGTATAGCTGTCGTCCGGTGCCACAATTGCCATCCCCCGCACCAGCCACTCCCCGTGCCTGCCGCCCCCACGCCTACCACTCCGTGGACACCACCACCTGTTGCGCAGCCGCCCCGTGTCAAGCCCGCCACCCCCCGCGCCTGCTACCTCATGTGCCTTCCCTTCCCTTCCTTCTCGTTTGTGGAACGAAAATGAACATGAGATAGTTGGGGAACATTGCGGGTAAATGAAAATGAAAATGAGAGTTGCATAAGTGAAAAAGAGATGTTGTAAAAGTGAAAGAGGGTAATTTCTTTTTATTATTGCATTTTTTTATTATGTAATTTTTTTTTTGTTTTTTATTCATATTCATATATTATTTATAATGATTATTTTTTTTAATTTATTAAAAAGCACAATTTCTTACATTTCTTAGTTTTTATATTTAATTTTGTTGTAATTTTTGGTAATTTTTTTTGTTATGTAATTTTTTATTATTGTATTTTTTTATTATGTATTTTATTTTATTTGTTTTCATATTTATATATTATCTATAATAATTAATTTTTTAAAAATTTATCATAAAGTGTAGTGTGAGTTGTAAAAAAAGTGAAGGTGCTTATAAATAATTTTCATTGAAACAAAAATTGTAAAAATGAATCGCTTAAAGTAACGTGGTGTAGTGAAACCCATTTAAAATAAATGGGAATTGCTTATTGTAGATGCTCTAAGAAATTGCGTGGGAAACTTCATAATAACAAACACGTGCAACTTAGACCTATGTTAAGTTGTCCAAGCAAAACTATAGATAATATATCATGGGCTCAAGATCCTACAATAATATAGCCTCTTAGGTGATATTCTTGTTGAGTCTGATTTAGAGATGGTTGTTAAACTTCTAAATAACGGGTGCTTTCGTAGTCACTCGTGCTATTCTTTAGTTAATAAAGTGGTATGGTTGGTGATGATCAAGATGTACGTTGTAGTGATATCCCTCGAGAGGCTAATCAAGTTGCAAATTGCCTAGCAAAGCATGGCTGTTCTATTCTAGTAGGGATTCATATCTTTCTAAATGCACCTCAATGGTTGCAAGTCTTTTTTGTTGGCTAATGTCTCGATTGTTTCTTTTAATTTAAGCGTTAATTTAGCCCCTTCACGTACAAAAAATAATTGATAACACTATTAGTTATGAGTAATATTTAAGATGATAATTTAATTTTTAATAAATAAAAAGTAGTTAAAAATGTTCATATAAAAAATATGAACTAAAAATAATAATTGTAATTTTAAAGAGACGAAAAACACAAAAAATTTATAGAAACTAAAATCAAAATTAATTAATTTTACATGGACTAAAAAAATATTTAAATCTTAAATTTAAAATAATATTTTTTACATTTATTATTTTTAGTACGTGTCGAACAATAAAAAAATACTTATTTGAAAAAACTGCTTTTGCAGGAAAAAACACTATCATTATTTGATGAATATTTTATTTATCTTTTACTCGATATGATTTACACGTATAATATAAAATATATATGAACTAATTATTTGTAAATAACCGTAAATAATTTTTTAAATAAATAAACTTGAATTAATAATATATAGTCATTTTAATATATCTATTTTTCTTTGTTTTCTTTCTTAGCTCATCTATTTATCTTTGTAGTATTTATAATATCTTTCATGTTTACTTAATCATTTATGGGACACTCTTACTACCCCAACACATATATTGTAATAATGAAAACTTACAAATAAATTTTTCAATTTTGGTAAAAGGGTTCACATGAGAATCTTCAAAATTATTCTTCAATAACCACACGCAGGAGTTTACAAATTATTTTCAAAAATAATAATTACAATTCTAAATCCATATAAAAATCTATGTCTTAAAAATCCTCTGCCCCGATGTCACAATATCAGAGCATACCCACAATTTCACTGTTGGCATTCTAGATGCCACTCGAAGCCGGATCTTCCTCACCTAAAACATCCACAATTCGTACGGTGAGAAAAGAAAACATTTATATATAAAACACACCACAATGTAATCTCATCATAACTCATTACTTAATAAAATATTTACAATCATATATATATATATATATATATATCATAATTTATCAATCATTCATCATCTTCACATCTCAATTCACAATTACATCAATTCATCACAATCCACATCAATCTTACAATTAACACTATGTCAAGACCACGCCACAACTGACACAAGTGATACGGGTTAATTGCCTCACTCATCCCACACCATGCCAGGGGCACGCTCGTCCTTGTAGCATCACTTACCCAAGGTTCGTCTCATCCTTGGTCATTAGTGTGAGGAACCACAATCACATCACAATCCACACAATCTCTTGCAATTAACCCTATGTCAGGGCTGCCATATTAATTTAACATAAGTGATGCGTGTTAATTGTCTCACTCATCCCACACCATGCCAGGGGCACGCTTGTCCTTGAAACATCACTACTCAAGTTTCGTCTCATCCCTGGTCATTAGTGTGGGGAACCACAATCACAATCATATTTACATCCATGCAACATCTCATCTCATATCTCAATTCTATATTACATACACAATTCCATATCACATACACAACAGATAAGTCCAACAAAATAAGGGTTTACACACCCTTCGAGCAATTTACATCTAGATCATAAATTCTTATCAAATAATATACTAATAACATTCATGAATTAATATAATAATCAATTTAATATAATTTTAGCATAAACAGTAAAACCCCTCAATTATTCCAAAACCTAACTCACAGGCACTTTTCTACAGTTTCATTCTCCCTCTCAGATCATCATTCTTACAAATTAAATATATATTTCTAATCATCAACACATACAGAATCTAATGGTATCATTAATTCCTCAAACAGAAATAATCCAAGTTTTCCAAAACCTAACTTACAGACACTTTTCTATAATTTTGTTCTCTCTTCCAGAGCATCATTTTTACAAATTAATCATATATTCATAGTCCTAAATACATACAGAATCAAATAAGACCAATAATTCTCCAAACAGAAATAATTATAAAATTACTCATAATCTTAAGGGATTCTTCCTCTACCCAATTCCCTCATGTAACTCTACATATAAATAATTTCATTTTCCCCCGTACCTGGATATGTAGAAGCTGAATTTATACGAGATCTGGTTGGTCTCCCTCGCTAGGTTCCCCTCGGTCTGAAACAAAAAGTAGAGGGAAAAGAAGAGAAAGTAGAAGAAAAGAAATCAGAAAATGAGAGGTGTGCTTTTTGGGAGTGGCAGAGAGCTCAATTTATAGGCCACAGGCTTCGCCGGAACGGCCCGTTCCAAATTCGGAACGGCCCGTTCTGGACCCTTGAATCATGGGTAAAAATCACACCCAAAACGGCCCGTTCTCAAACTAGAACGGCCCGTTCTGGTTGCATTTATTACTCACAACTACCATAGCCCGTTCCAAGCCCGTTCCCACTTAGAGTTAAAGGCAGTTTTTAATAGTCTAGAACGGCCCGTTCTGGGCAACGAACTCGCATATATTTTGGTAGTTTGGAACGGCCCGTTCCAATTTCGGAACAGCCCGTTCCAAGCTACTAAATCACATACCTTTTGGTAGTTTAGAACGACCTGTTCCAATTCCGGAACAGCAGTTCCAAGTTACTAAATCACCCCTATATCTTTATAAAATTACAAAAATACCCTCAATTAAAATAAATAAAAAGTGAAATAAAAACTGGGGTGTTACAATTTAGAAAAAAATAGTAGGGATCAAAAAGCAAATTATACTCGCATAAACAAAAATAGAAAAAAAATATTATAAAGACTAAAACAAAATAGTAAGGACCAAAATAAAAAAATTACAAAAACTATTAATTTGAAAAAATTATAAGGAGCAAAACAAAAAGTATATCACATCAAAGATATATTTAAACTTTGAAGTAAATGTATCCGTACTTTTAAATAAATGGAGTTAAGGATTGATTTTGGATATACTTATTAAATATTTATTATAATAAAATTACTTAAATTATTTTATATTTTTCCTTTTGTGTTGAAATCAAAGACTAAGGAAGTGTCCAAGATAATGTTTTGATGATAATAGAGCTTATTAAAATATAGAAATATAAGGAGGCTTGGTTTATGAAGCTTATAAGACTTGTACCAAAAGTTTTATCTAAAGCATCTAATATATGTTACTTCATAATAAATTAAAACATTCAATCTCATAAGTGCCTTTTCTAGATAAAACACCTAATGTATCTCAATGTATATCTTTGATAGAGTTTCTCTTTTGTAATAAGTATAGCTTCTACTGGAGAAAGCTTTTATCATCATATATAGGAAAATGTTTACAAAGTATAAATCAAAATGCTTTGAGATATACTCATATATAAACATCAAAATGCTTTGAGATATACTCATATATTTGCATGTAATATCTTTTGAAATTTTTAAGTGTTTACTAATAAGAACAAATTTGTTATACTTAAAGCACGAAGATTACAAATTCCTATCTTTCAGAGAGGAAAGTAAACCAAAAAGTAGTAAAAGCATAAGCATGCTTTGTTGGTTAGAAGAGAGAATATATTTTTATAAAACAGTTACTCACACTAAAATATTGTTTTATTTGATATCAAGTGTTGTAAGTGTGTTTGAACTGGAAAAACACTTCGATGAGTTCAAACACATTATTAAAGATTAAACATAACTCTTATTAAAGACTAATAAAAAATAAATGAGTTCAAATTTTTTATTCCTATCCTTTCTATCAAATTATTTTTGAAAAAAAACATTTTCTAAGCACTACACACACGTTATTTGCAAATAAGCAAATAAACAAACTTATCACACATAGTTCAACTTCTTATTTTGTGTTTGTTTTATCTTCAATTTTTACTTATATATAATTGAAGTATTTAGCTTATCAGTTTTTTTTTTTTTAACTTTGTGAGATTTAAAAAAAAAAAAAAATATTGTACTTTATTTATTTTTGTTTTAGATTGATGAAATTGCATTTCTATAGTTTAACTACCTATTTAAAGTAATTCAAAAATTTTAACATTAAAATAAAAATATTTATTTACAAGAAATAAAAAATTATTCTGCATATAAATTTATAATAATAATGGTTTTTTTTGACATAATTAAAATAATTATGTTAAAAATTCTATAATATTGATTTGAATGATAAGGAACAAATTAACTCATTTTTTGAAGAAATGAGTTTGATTCATCCTAATGTGAGTTATATAATTGTCAAAATAGGTATCAACTTGTGAACTAACCTAACCCACCATGAATTTCAGTTGGATTGAGCTAAAAAAAAGTTATAAATTTCAATACCACTAAGAACGTGTTTCATTCAAGTTGAATTTGTCATGAGTCGGGTTGGCGTACCAACTCACTCACGTGAAAAAAAAAGTAACTCACATAATTTTGACGGGATGTTATTTGAAATAAGTTTCTTTTAAACAATGTTGGCTAGACATAAAAAAAGGATTATGTTGGGTGCTTAGACATTAAAAAATAGATTTTTATAATAAAACAAATTTGGTTGGACATATATTTAAACACAAATTTTTGGTTGGCCAAGTATTTAAAAAAAAATAAAGTTGTTTAAAAAATAGATGTTTAAAAGAAAAATTATGGTTGGTTGAAAATTAGGAAAAATATTTTTTTTTTAATTCTTTAAAAATTAAGTAAGTCAACCCATTTTATCCACTATCCTGTGGTGGACAGGACTCATCTTTGTAAGCTCATTAGTAAGTGAGTCTGATTAAGTTGACCCACCTATTAGTTAACCTGTGGTAGGCTAGGTCAAATGGGATCGAATGGTCTATATTGATAACTAAGAAATAAACTCTTAGAGTATTAAAACCTACTCTTGGTATTGGTGAGACTCTAAGACTCAACTCACCTAAACTTTCATAAAGAAAGAAAATCTTAAAATTCCTATTACTTACTAACTCTATTTTCTATTTATAAGACCCAACTTTGAACAATTATTTGTTTCTTTATATAAGACTCAATTCACATTGTCTCATACATTAAGTCTCATGCATTAATTATTTTTATACTAAAATATTCTTAATAAAAATGTGTTAATTTGATAAAATATCTTAATTATAAACTCTTTAAATAACATAAATTGCAATCTAATTAATAAAGAGAAAATGAGTATTAATTAGGAGAAAAAAATAACATAGGAAACACACTCTAAATCTCTAATTGACTAGAAGATATATAAGTATTAATTAAAAAAGAGTAATAAAATGATAGTTTTACAAAAATAAAATATATAAATAAAAAAATTTACTCTCAGTTAATTTATAGTAATTAAACTATTATCTTTACTCTCAGTGAACTTATAGTAATTAAGTCGAGATAATATTGTTTATTTATTTATTTTTAATATTAACCACGCATAAATTGAGTAGATGCAAGGCACAGACGCAGGAATTCTAGTAAAAAAAAAGAAAAAGAAAAAGAAAAAGAAAAAAGAATCGCTCTGTTTGTAAACTGTTAACTTGGTTGCTTCATATGTAAACGGACACGTATCCTCATTCCAATTTACTACCCAAAAAAAGGTGTCGCCGCCGTTGAAACGGAATTCTCGCCGGTAAACAAGTTCCGGCCACCATGACAGGTCATTCACTTCTTCCTTCTCTTCTTCAATTTCGATTACCACGCACCAATTGAAGTTTAAGTCACCACCATAATTCAGTTTCTGCAGAGCTCGCATTTGGGGTTTTCTTATTATTCCTTTATTTTCTTTTCAACTTTTCTAGTTAATTTAGGTTTTTCATATTTATACTTGTATTTCTTTTGAATGGTTCTTTCAGTGGCCCCTTTCAGTCTGAACTGATTGTAGGTTTTTATTTTATTTTATTTTATTTTATTTTTTCCCTCTCTTTTGGGTGCAGTATTTCTGGTCTTGGTGCAGATTGTTTGCGTCTTCTTTTATTATTATTATTATTATTAGAGAAATGCTAGGAACTTAGAACACTACGCGTTCTTATGGGGATTTACGAGAAATTATTGAATGGTTGGAGTTTACCACGTGAAATAGTCTATCTTCATGTGACATGCAACTGTGTGTTGGTTTTATTAACCAACACTCTCTCCTAAATTGAAAATCTTATTGTGTAGTCCATCTTCATGTGACATGCTACTATGTTCTAGTTTTGTTAACTCTTTTTGGTAAATTGAAAATCTTAAATATGTGTCACATGAAGATTGATCGTTGATTGAGACTAGTGACACGTGGTGGTCCTGGAGTGGATCATGCAATAGTTTCTCTGGGTTTACTGTTACATGTATCAGTGTTTTATTTTGTATGCTTGGAATATCGGTCTTACTACATGTTTAGAGTCTTTCAGCTAAATAGGAAGGAAAAATTAAATAAACTTCTGTATAAACTTAAGTTGACTTATCTGTAAACTAATTTATAGAACTGTCTCCTATTAACTTCTTTAAAATCTTGATTTTAACTTATTTATAAGCTAATTTTAACTTATAGAGAAACTAATTTCAATTTTTCTTCTTATTGTCTTCTTCTAAAACTTCTTTTGGAGAAGTTTATCTAAGCGGACCCTTAGTTGGAGATTAACCTTGTTATAAAATGCATTTTTTAAAGCTAATTTTTTTAATGTTATAGAAAAGTTTAGATTAGGGGAAAGTTCACTTCCATATAAGGCCAAAGAAGACCACCAAACTCAGCGAGGATTTATGGCAGGTATACGTGTCACTTATCAACCGGTTGTTCTGGAATCTAACCATAGTCCTGGTCTTGCAAGAGCAGAAGGTCCACCAGGTGATTTAACTACCTGTTTGCAAAATATAACTGATTATTTTCTAAGATGAATCGAGCTTGATTAATTACATTGTTGGACTTTAACCTATTTCTTATAAGCGTTGACTATTTGCAATGGTTGGTTCTCTGCCGTGTTATGACGTTGCTTAATGTTATAAAATTTTCAACTAAATAAACAAAGATAGTTTAAGAAGACTTGGAAGCTCCTTTTGAACTTCATGTGCTGTGGTTTTGTCTTTTAAACAAAGATCTCTATTCTTTCACACTTTATAGGACTATTTTTTATCCTATGTTCTGTTCTTCCTTTGTCCTTTACCTTTAGACTTCCCAATTCACATTCTGCTATTTTCTTTATCTAATTTGATATGTTCTTTTTCTATTAATTTTACCATCATCTTTCATTTTTTTGACTTTATTACAATGAATTTATTGCTCCTAGACTGGTCATGTTTATCATGAATTTCTTTAATTTTGGGTTTTTGTGCTATTCTTTTTTGAGTATATAACTATTTATATGTGTAACATAAATTATTTAATTTGTATTATAATATTTAAAATAGTGGTCATCCCACTTCCTACCACCCGCTATAGAGTTTTTAGAGTTAGCCACTACGCATTGCTATTTGAGATTGATTACTATGTTTGTATAGCTATGTAACATTAGATACATGTGGTTAATTTGGTATGAGTTTCAGCAACTGACATGACATTGTAAGATTAAGTACATTTCTGCTTCGCCAACCTTTTCACAATTGTGTGGGGTTGGGTGGGGTTTTTGTCTACCAAGTTTTCATGTCTTAGTTAGTTGAGTTCTATATATTTGAGACGGAATTTACATCCCTGTTGCAATGCTCTTCTTTTACCTTACAGAATCCAGTTTATTGCAAAAGAAGCAAAATTATCATAGTGTATATTAACATGGGTTTTCAGGGATGCATCCAAAAGTATACCATACTCGTAGTTCTAGTGACAAAGAGAAAGCAAAGTACATGGTTTGGACAAATGAAATGGACAAGTGCCTAACTGAGGTACTCGCTGAGCAAGTGAAAAAGGGGAACAAAGTGGATAATATCTTGAAGCCAGCAGCATTTGCAGGTGCACTGAAAACATTGAATGAGAAGTATGGTATGTATGTGACAAAAGGACAAATAAAAAATCGACTGAAGACATGGAGGAAGCAGTTTGGGGTTTTGAAGGAACTCCTTGCTCATACGGGATTTATGTGGAATGAGACAAAAAAGATGGTTGTTGCGGATAACTCTGTTTGGAATGACTACATCAAGGTAATCTTGTTACATGTGATACAGTATTTATTCCATCAGTTTGCAGTTTTATGTTGATTGTCTGATATTCTTATGTTACCTGCAGGTACACCCTGATGCGAGGATTTTCCGAGCAAAGTCAATAGAAAACTATGATCAGTTATGTACTATCCTTGGAAATGATCAAGCAATTGCAAGTTTTTCTGACAATGTTACAGAAATAGATGTAAACTTTGCCGTTGATAAGGGGGATCCAGATCTTGCCGTTGTGTCTGAAATACAAACTGATGGAAACCAGACCAAATGCCTCAGGTGGACAGCTGAAATGGACCATTGGCTTGGAAAGATTCTTGTAGAACAAGTGAGGAGAGGGCTTAAAGTAGATAAAGTTTTGCTGACAGAAGCATATGACACAGCTGTTTCAGCAATAAATGCAAAATTGGGGCTTCATCTAACAAAATGCAATCTTAAATATCGTCTTAAAACTTGGAAGAAACAGTATGAACTATTAAAGGAACTTCTGTCTCATACTGGATTTAAGTGGGATGAAACAAAGAAAATGGTCATTGCAAATGAGTCTACATGGAGTGACTACATCCGGGTATGTGTGCATATTTTCTGACTATTAGAACAGAGAAGGAAACATTTTTTTATTTCTCTTATTTATTTTTGAATAATACAGCCACTGATTTATAGACAGAATTAGTCCCAAAGAGGAACTTGAAGTTGCTGCAATCAGGAAACAAATGAGGAAGCAATAAATAGCCTATCACCGATGATATGGTCATAATTCAAATTTTATTTAAATCTGATTCTGAATAAATTTAATACAAAATCAAATCAGTGCCTAAATTAAGGAATAATTGACACAAAAATTAAGGACAAACTTGTAACATCCCTCCTCAAGTTGGTGCATAGATATCTATCATGCTCAACTTGCTTATAAGGAACTTAAAAATTTGACTTGGAAAAACTTAGCGAGAATATCTACAATTTGTTTTGAGGTAGGAATATACAACATACAAATAGTTCATTATCAAGTTTTTCTTCTTAATACATCCTATTTTGAGGAAAATAATTTAAAGAAAAAAACTCCAAAAGGAGTTTTGAATTTCAATGTTTTACTGAGCATTCTATAGGTTGCTGTCAATATGGCTTCTGCTCAAAAGTATTTAAGAGCAATATTTTAAAAGAGTAAAGCTTGAGCTACTTCCAAAAGGTATTTAATTTTTCTTTTGTCTTCAAATACATAGAGTTCATTGATTTCTCTCCATTAGTGGCAATCATCCCCGAGTTCAATTCTTGAAACTTACAACGAAAGGTATCAAATGTTGTTCGACAATTCAAATGAAGGGTAATTTTACAGATAGAAAGTAAATTGCATGACAAATTAGGCACATAAAGGACATTATGAAGAGTTCATGATGGAGAGAGAGGTATTGATCCTATTCCATCTATAGTGAATGAGCCATTTTGCAACTTTGATTTTGTTTCCTGCCCAAGGACTATAAAAGGAAAATAATTTTGAACAAACAGTCATATGGTCAGTGGCACTAAAATCAACAGTCCAAAAAGGTTGAGTTTTCTCTCTCTCTCTCTCTCTGTAAAATACAAAGGGCAGCAATTGAATGATTACCCAAGAAGCTGCTTTATAGCAAGAAATAGTTATACATGCAGAGGAATCTGCTTCTTTTTAAGAAGATATTCAGACAATTGAGTTATGGCCTTATGGGCAATTCAAAATAAATGATGATTAAATGAAGTAATGAAGTAATGAAGGAAAAAGTGGGTGTCTTTCTCAAAATTGATACCATTATCCCCCCACTGCCCCGCTCTGCTACAATGAATATGCTTATGTTTTCTCTTGTTGCATGGCATGATCTTGTTTTCTTTTATTTGGTTAGATGATTGGGTAGAAAGGCTTCTTTATTTGGGAGGGGATGGGGATGGGGTGTGTTTCCTAATATTTGTATTATGATTTCAGGAATTAGCATTAATGTGCAATTAAGGGCTGTAAATAAGCTTGTAATATTTATAGAACAAATATAACGAGAGGAGGCAACAGGCCAAAATTTCTTGACTGGGTGGTAGAGATTAAATAATTGGTTACAAAATGATCCATATCAAATATCCAAAATGAACTACAGTAGCAAATACCATTAAATTTTCGAAAGGAAATGTGTCTTAAATTTTGAATCCTCCCAAATTTAAGATCAATGTGTGCTGGCTCAGGTTATCATTTCAGTAAATGATAGCTATAGTAGGACATTTGTTTTGGGTTATCTTTTCCTATTTTCAGGTTATTTTCAGGAATCTGAATAGGTACAATAAAATAATTAGGCATAAATCATAATCAATCCCTAAAGTTTCGGGATTTAGATAAAACTGACAAAGAAAACTAAACTAGAAAATAGAAGAAGATAAACTAGTATATTTGAACTATATCTTATAGAATTATCTTAACACTCCCCCTCAAGCTGGAGCATATATATTATATGCATCTAGCTTGTTACATATATATGTTATCCTAGGACCTCGTAAAGATTTAGTAAAGATATCTGCAAGTTGATCCTTGGAGCAAACTGAGGAGGTCTTGATGATACCGGAGAGGATCTTTTCTCTGATGAAATGGCAATCAACCTCTATATGCTTTGTTCTCCCATTAAAAACTGGATTAGAGGAGAGGTATAAAGCTGACTGGTTATCACAAACTAGTTCCATATGACCAACCTTGCAAAACTGCAACTCTTGAATTAATAATTTTAGCTACAAGAGCTCACATGTGGTGTGAGCCATAGCACGATATTCTGCTTCTGTACTTGATCGTGCAACAACACTTTGCTTTTTACTCTTCCATGAGACAAGATTACCACCCATGAAGACACAATAGCCTGATGTTGACCGCCTATCACTTGCATCACCTGCCCAATCTGCATCTGAATATCCAACAATGTCTGTATGTCCTCTATCATTGTAAACAAGTCTTTTTCCTGGTGATCTTTTGATGTATCTAAGGATTCGAACAACTGCAAGCCAATGACTCTCACAGGGAGAGTTAAGAAACTAACTTACAACACTGACAGGAAATGATATATCAGGTCTGGTCATGGTGAGATAATTCAATTTTCTCACTAATCTCTGATATCTCCCTGAGTCAGGATAAGGCTCCCCCTGATTAGGCATAAGCTTTACATTAGGATCCATGGGAGTGTCAACTGGCTTACAATCTGTAAGTCCAGTCTCTTCTAGAATATCAAGGGCATTTTCTCTGAGAAATAGCAATTCCGGACTTTGACTGAGCAACCTCAATCCCAAGGAAATAACGTAAGGGACCTAAATCCTTAGTTTGAAAGTGGTTAAATAAGTGTTGTTTCAGAGTCTTGATGCCCTCCTAATCATCACCTGTAATCACAATATCATCTACATAAACAACAAGATAGATAAATCTATGTGTCGATGAGCGTCTAAAGAAGACAGAGTGGTCTATCTCGCAAATCTCCTCACTAAGGTCAAAATGGAAGATGCAAAAGGCATCTCTACTCCTATGATTGGTGGCCAACAGCTTGCTAAAGATGGTACTCTATTTGATGACCCTACGCTGTACAGGTCCGTCGTTGGTGCACTTCAGTATGCCACAATCACGCGGCCTGAAATTGCCTTCAGTGTCAACAAGGTAAGTCAGTTCATGTGTTCTCCCATGGAAGAACATTGGAAAGTTGTCAAACGTATTCTTCGCTATCTTAAAGGCACTGTCAATCATGGACTTGTTTTCTCGCCTGCCAAGCACACTGCTCCCTTCAATCTTACTGCCTTCACTGATGCTGACTGGGCATCTGATCCAAATGACAGAAGATCCACTTCAGCAGCATGCATCTATCTTGGTCCTAATCTTGTGTCTTGGTGGTCCAAGAAACAACTACTTGTTGCCAGATCCAGCACTGAAGCTGAATACAGAGCCTTAGCTCAAGCTGTAACTGAAGTTTTATGGATTCAGTCACTGCTAAAGGAATTAACTGTTCCTCTAAACACTCCTACTGTACTCTGTGACAATCAAAGCACTGTTGCACTCTCACACAACCCAGTTTTACATGCAAGATCCAAGCATATGGAACTTGATATCTTCTTTGTTCGTGAAAAAGTGCTCAACAAGTCTCTTGTTGTATCACATATACCTGCCCAACATCAGTTTGCCGATGTTCTGACAAAGGCTCTATCTCCTAAGCGGTTTCTTCTTCTTCGCTCCAAGCTCAATGTTGCTGATCCATCCACTTTGCTTCATCCTCCTTGAGCTTGTGGGGGGTGTATTAGAGAAAAGAATAGAATAATAAATACTTTTATTTTATTATCTTATTTCTGTGTATTTCAAATATATTTTTCTGATTGTATTTCAGCTTATATCTTTAGGTTAGTTAGTTAGACTACTTGGGTTAGTTAAGTCAGTCAAGTATATATACGGATACATCTCTCATGTATTGTTTTCGTGATAATAATCAATAATATTCTTCTTCTGAGAATCGCTTCTCTTATATGGTATCATCGTAAGCCCGTTCGATTCGTTTCTCTGCCTCACGCTGCCCACCGTCGTGTTGCTTGCGTTCTTGCGCGCAATCTCTCTGTGCTGTTCGCGCAATTGGCGCGCCTCTTCCTGTCCACTCGCGCCGCCGTCTCTCACTACTGTTTGTGCTCTTGTGCGCAAATCTCTCGCTTCTGTTCGCGCCAATCTCTCGCTGCTGTTCGCGCGATCTTTTCCGTGCGCAATTGACGAATCTCTTTCTTGCTGATTCTTGCTCGGATAAAAACAACGAACCGGAAAAAAAAAAATAAATAAAATAAAATACACATTCAAGACTTTCAACAAGAATGGTATTCTTGAGTTTCGATGGGTAAAAAATTACAACTTTAGAAAATGAAGAGCTTTTCAATTTAAATCAAGAAGGGATGCAACATTGAATTGTTCAAGAATGTTGAAGAACTTTGATTAGTTTAGACCAAATCTCAGAGCCTAGAGTCGGAAAATAACGGAAAGGGGCAAGTAGTTAGTCATACATATGTGTAGAAAGTAATTCACCTCAAGGTCAAAGATCATCCCCAGAAAAGAGCACTCCGGTCATTTTGTAAAAAAAGTAGTACACATTAAATTAAACCTAAAAAAAACAAAAATGTCATCAGTACTCTTATAATTAAGTAACTTCTAATACTAGCATAAACTTTGCAAATTTAATTTAATTTCAAATTACTCACTTACCACGTGACAGGAACCCCAAGTCCCAACACATGAAATACAACGGAAACATGATCATTGAAATTTGCATACAGCGGATTAGTATCCTCTGGTCATCATTCTTGTTCTTGCATGCTATCAAAATCAATAAAAAAAGAAAAACACCGGTTTTGAAAACAAGAAAACGCAAGTTCAAGAAAGAACCAAGACCCAGAAAGAGGAAAAACAGCAATAAGGACAGCGAAGGATCCAGTCTCTCATAGCACTCCAAACAGAAGAGAAAAAAAATCAGAAAACAGAAACAAGAATCGACTTCAATTCAAAATCAAAGGAAAAGCAATCACAAGGTAAAGAAGAGAAAAGCAAGATCAAAGAAGGAA